AAATATTTGAGCCAATAGGAAGCTTCTGTAGTGTTTTGTTTTTTTTTTCAAACAGAAGACCACATTTCCCATAAGCCCCGTTGCTTCCTGACACAAATATTATGTTGCTGTTTGTTAATCTCTTCCACCGTCAATCATCTTTCTTGACCTTTTTACAATAATTACTACATCAACAAGGATAATGTTTCATAAACAATGTTCAACTCAACTGTTGGCTTGTTTAAGATATAAATATTAATTATGAGGCCTCAACACCTGAATAATTGATAATCAGTGCAGTGTGATGAAAACCAGCCATATGAAGCCCTCAACTGTAGCAACAGAGACCTTTAATTAGTCAAGAATGTCTAAATATATTGATAAGTCTCTGTGCTAACGGCTACGCTAACCAGGAAGCTAGTTTGGGATCTTTAGCTCAGTTCTCTCTCGTATCGATTGTCAGAAGGTAGACATATGTTGGTATGGTTTTAGGAAAAGCCAATATATGTTTACATGTGTTCGTGTTTTAGATTAGTTGGGAACGTTAAGAAGATAATTATTTATTACTTCATGCACAAATACACATCAAGCACGTTGTGTAGCTGTTTGCTGTGTGTTTGTTGTTGTTGTGGATGGACGGCTTTCAATGAAGTTTTACCTGCAGCGTGTCCGGATCATCATTCTGGCATTTGAAACAATGTTTTTGAGTGTGTGATTACACAGCTATGTGATTGGTTGCGTGTGTGTGTGTGTGTGTGTGTGCCTGGACAAGATAGAGACCTAAAGCACCTCTTGACTGTGAATTAGCCTGTCATGACAAATGTCTGGAACTGCATGACTGGCTGCCAGACTGGCTGGCTATCTGGGAGGTTGGCAAACCCTTTTAGATAGTGTGTGTGTGTGTGTGTGTGTGTGTGTGTGTGGCATCACGCTTTGCCCACGCCAGGTCTCTGTACATGACCAGTGGTGCGTGCCCTCCCTCCCCTCTTTTTTTTTTTTATTTATTTTTTTTCTCTCCTCGCCCAGAAAAGAGCAACCAAGGCGACAACCTGCTCAGAAAAGAGAGCTTCCAGAGCGGAGAAGGGGTCCTCACCCCGACGCCAGTGCCCACAGAGGAGCCCTCTGTCTCAGATTCGCACTCAACCGTTTAGCCTCTCTTCCCCCTGGAGGTTCCCAGCAGTCGATGGAAGACACAGAACACAATTGTTCTCGCTGTGTCCATTTAAAAAGGGAACGTCTCTTCCCTCTCTTGAGTCTCCATTCTTGAAGCAGCGCTGCCCACTGACCACCAGCTGACACGCTTTCTCTGCTGCTGGCTTTGATCATGCAGTGATGCGGCTGGCTGGGTTTGTGGCTTTTACATCCACTGTGTTGTTAGCGTCCTGTGCTGCCAAATAAAAAGGGCTGTGTGTTTATTATTCCTGTTGCATAGAATATCCGACGCCACCTTCCAGAATGGAAATAGTGAGCGTGGTTATCACGTATGTTTTAGTGTGACGCCCACTAGATGGCATTTCATCACCGCTTGGTCAGCAAGTCTCTCCGGTGGACCTACAAAGTTCTGAGCTATCGTGTTCCTGCAGAACAAAGAGATGTAGTTGGGATGTCAGTGTTGGTAACAGTTGGTTTGACAAAGAGGTGGAATTTTAAACTCCCTGAACTGATGTATGGAAGTAAAGCTCCTGGGGATGCTGACTCTGCATTGTGTCCAGCTAGCTGTCTTTTGTTTGGTGAAAACCAAAACATTTGTTCCATCTCAAGTTGTCCTTTTCAGTTCCTACAGATGAATCTGTTGTGCCTTTTGTGATACATCTACAAAGGACACATATTCCAGTTTTAAAGCACACGAGTATAATTAACCACGGGAAGATTTGATCCCAGATCATGTCAAACATTGTTCTTTACACAACAACAAAGGCCTCTCGTCTCCTCTCCCCGTCTCTCCCTCCAAACACATTCTCATGTTTTCTCATCAGCGGCTCTGTAGCTGACCGAGCTAGGCGCTAGTCACATGCATTTTTTCTATACAGCGCTAATCCTAGCCTCTGGATAGGCAAAGTCAATTTCCCATTTCCTGTCCCCAAAATGGCCGACAACAATAATGCAGTTGGATATTTTTGGAGTATGTTGGGGCCTGAGCCGTGTGTGTGTGTGTGTGTGTGTGTGTGTGTGTGTGTGTGTGTGTTTATATAAACATGCATACACACACAGGCACACTTAAATTGGTAGTTGTATCCATATCTGTAAAGGCCAGATTGGAAATCGGAACTAGTCCATAGCCAGGAGGCAATCAGTGACATTACTGGTTATCATATTACATTTATAACAGCAGGGAGGCACCTGCATAGACAACACAGTAAGACAGAAGGAAGTGAGGATGGAAAGACATAATGGAAGAAAACGACACAGGCAGTATAAAGAAGAAGGAAAGACTGAATTCATTTTGTAATGTCATGACAAATTGCCACAATCCAGCTGTATTATTGGAGGCATCTGACTCAGTGATTAGTACCCCACCCTGGTCAGCCATTAGAAACATGAACCTACAAATGCAACTTTCTTCAAAGATGTATTTAGTGAGTTCTTTGTAGCATGTTTCTTGTCGTGAACTGCTTCCTGTCCTCTGGCTCTTTCCTCTCAATTTTAAAACATGTGATAGTTGAGATCCTGCTAAAGAAAACCATTCTGAGCCGCTTGTTTCTACCAATCTCTACCAATTTGATAGAAAGTAGTTCATAGAAACAGTAAAACAAGGAGTGCCTGTCCTATGGTGTTCCACAGGGGTCAATCTTAGGTCCTCTATTGTTTCAACACATACTTAATTCCAACCGCTCCACTGATGATAATTTACTTTATTATTGGCTAAAACCAAAGATATTGAACTATAAAGTGAGGAATCTCTGTCTGTTGTTCAGTATTAACATGTTGAATGTTGAATAAACTGTTCAGCACCAGGACTTCAGGGCTCTGCAGAGTCGAGCATGTTGTTGTTTGGAAGGCAGACGGCGGCTCTAGTAGTACTAGTATTATAAAACCTGGTCCTGTATTCTGGCCTTTTTATTGGATGTTATCGTTAATGTGAACAGGCTGTAATTGTTTTATTTGATCTGTCAGTCCCCTAAACCTAATAATGAGCCATGGAGCTCTCTTTGTGGATATAAAGCATGCTGCAGGTAATCTAGTTGTGATGCTTAAACCAACAAAGAAAGTTTAAGGAAAAGAACAACTCACATTTTACTTTCACATAATAATTCCCTCCTTTTTGTTACCTGGATTTGTGCTGAGTGACTGCAGGGGAAGAAGTTTTGTTGTGCTTTGACACTCAATACTTTTCTACAATCAGTATCAACTCGATCCTCTCCTCTCTCTTTATCTCTCTTTCTGTCTCCCTCTCTCTCTTTATCAGTCTCTCTCTAAGGTGTGTTCCCTTCTCCCTGTGGGCATCCCCTTGGGCTCTCACACACACACACACACACAAACACAGAGTGCATTAGGGTTGCTGTCATTTACAATACAGCCCCATTGTCCCGGCCTAACAATGGCTACAAACAAACAATTGACATGGAAATGGAGAGATGTAGCTCATTAGCGGGCGCTGCTTGTTTTGTTAATGGATAAATGGGCGGCTTCAATGGGCCAGCCCTAAAACCTGCCTCAATATGGAGAAGCCTGATTAACAGGAAACCACAGGGAGGGAGAGCAGCGACAGAGAAATGCAGCTTCCATTCTCCCCTGGGTCATATGTGGTTGTGTATGTTTGGGAGGAGGGAGGGTGGGGGGTGAGTTTTTAGAGTGTGTGTGTGTGTGTGTGTGTGTGTGTGTGTGTGTGTGTGTGTTTAGGTTTACGAGTGCAAGGTGGAGTTTGTGTGCCTCTTAACTTCTGTTGTTTTCGTCACAAAGCCTTAAATCTCACTCATAGCATACCTCTTTTTTGTGTCCCTTATTTGGCTGTAAATCAAATAATCAAAATTTCCTTGGACATGTGTGAATTTCAACCTGGTTACCGTTTGTTCTTGCGGCCTGTGCATGTGAGTGAGTGCTTGGTTTGCTCCCAGTTAAGTGTTTGTCAGTTGACATCATCAAGGTGTGTGTGTGTGTGTGTGTGTGTGCGTGTGTGCGTGTGTGCGTGTGTGCGTGTGTGCGTGTGTGCGTGTGTGCGTGTGTGTGTGTGTGTTATCAGTAGGATCAGATTGGATCGGAATGGCATTTCTGCCATTACTGTGATGGTGACGGCTCAATACTGTATGTCTACTGCCAAGATGATGTTAGTGTGTGTGTGTGTGTGTGTGTGTGTGTGTGTGTGTGTGTGTCTATACACTCCTAACAACATAATGCACTAAGATGTGTTCAACCATGTTGATAGCAAAGCATCTTATTATGTATGTTGTGGTGGTTGAACATTTTATTATGTGTGTAAATGAAGTAAAGTGTCTTATCTACCGACAGTGTTCATTCATAAAGTAGTCATAATGGAATAATCACATTGAAACTGTATTATCATTGATAGAATGATATAAAGCTATATCTTAAGATATAAGATATCATTAATTTAAGCTCATCAAATGTACAGCTTTGAATCAGGACCATCAGTATTTGTATGAAATATGTTTAGAAATATAAAGTCGGCCGGCTTTAGGAGGCTACAGCTGTTATTTCAGTGTGTCAGATAAATATTTAGGTAAATGTAAGTATCAGATCAGACTCTGTATTGACAGATGCACGATATTACTTAATCCAATAAAATGATTTGTATATCAAAACATAATCTTACAAACAACTCGTGCAGAATTCTCCAACTCTCATTTATCCTCACGACACAGACACGTGCATCTTTGCTGAAATCTTACTATTTAAAACACTTCAGGCTCGCATGGACAAGTAGCCACTGTGAGGTTTATCTCACACTTCATCTCAGAATATGGATTTATTTCATCATGATTTCTTCTCTGGATGCCGTTCACCTGTACCTGAACAAGAGTAACTGTAACTCTCTTTTTTTATGTCTGTGTGTGTGTCTGTAGGAGCGTGACGCAGAGCGGCGACGACAGCTGAGAGAAAGAGCCAGGCAGCTGATCGCTGAGGCTCGATCCGGAGTCAAGATGTCAGACATGAGCCTGGACGCGTGCAGCACCGAGAGAGGCAAGGGCAGCAAAGCTAGTCCTGCTGGAGGTCAGTGCACACACACACACACACACACACACTCTTACACTTTATTTATCCTCATGAATATACTTCCTGAGTTTGAGGCCTCATATTAACACAAACACTTGCTAACAATCATAAATCTCACGAACACTCATTAAGGACAAAAGAAAAAGTCACACCAGCATGCTGTCGACACACACACACACACTCCTTTCCATCCACGCATGCTACACGACTCCCACATTTCCATTATGCTCTCTAAAGGGGTTCTGCCTAATCCTCTGAGAGAAAAACAAAAAAGGCCATTTTGACGACGGCCGCGGGTCTAAAAAATGCAGCACCCTCGTATTCAGAGCGGCAATTTACCCGGCGACTCCTCCCTCCTCTCGTTCGCCCGGTAATTGTTAATCAACACAACACATTGTGCGGCCAAATTATGCTCCAAATACCAAACACTTCTAATAATGGCTTGCAGGGATGGCCGCCGCGTGCGCTTCCCACTGCTTTCCATTTCCTTGGAATTGGGGATATTATGATAATAACCGTTATTAGGACTCTCATTTGTTTCAGATTTCTCCACATTACACCCGTCTTAAGGTTGTTCAGCTCAGGTAGATCGGCCGCGCTGCATGCAAATGAGTGTAGAAGGTGATGAAGGGTGTGAGCAGTGCAACTGTGATCGAGGAGTGAAGAGTGCTCTTGATATGAACGACCTCATAACAATAGTTTTTGTCATCCATTAATCTGATTTTGTCAATCAATGGTTTGGTCTGGAAATGTGAAAAGCTAAATATTACGTCCTAAATAGGCAGACAAAGGACGCTTGTTTTGTTTCTTCTTCTGCTGTGTTTACTGGCTGGTTACATACATGTGAAGCCTACAGCAACAACTTCTGACAAAAGTCTATTTGCTCCTAACAAGTTGATGAAATCGCGGCTGATTCACACTTATTTTTTTGTCACTTTTCCAAAGTTTCAAATTGAATAGAAACACGACTGATGTTAGAGTCCAAAATCCTGAATTTCTCACTTTACACAAAAACAGAGAAAAGCAGAAAATCTTCACGATTTAGAGACTGGAACCAGAGGATGTTTGCTCAAAAGTTACTCAAAGGATTCATCGATCATCAAAATAATTCCTCTGTCGATCAACTAATTGATAAATCTCAGGTGACAGGGTTGGAGCGCGGCGGGTTCCTGAGACGAGCGAACAAATCTAAAACTTTTCAACACAACCAGAAGAGTGAGATCAGCGACAGAACCAACGGCAGCGGGGACAGAACGGAGGGCTGCACTTGATTTATTTGCTCCTTCAGCTTTTCTGAATTGGACTAATTGTTGATCTCATTAAAAATGGAGTTGGAGGAAAAGAACGGAACAAGAGACGAGGAGGAGAGAGAAAAGCTGTTGGCTGTGATACACAAGGCCTGCCGAGCAGAACGGCTAATCCTAGCCCCCACACTCTCTCTCTCTCTCTCTCCCTCCATCTCTCCCCTCAACACCATTCACGGCCCTTTAATGCAGCTCGGGCTGCCCCCTCCAAGTGAAACTTTCCAAACTCCATCACCATGGCCTCCCCATTAATTAGGCCCCAACCAGCCACGCAGGAGGAACGGCGCTTGCGAGCACGCTTCGCATCGCAGCAAGCAAATTAGAAAAAAAAACAGGAAATGCTGTTATTTTGATTCTCTGTCTCTCCTTCTCTCTCTCTCTCTCTATCGCTTTCTCTCTTTGTTCTCGGCCTCTCTACCCACCAAGTAGTAAATAGCAGAGGAGGGAGCTCCCAATGTCGGACGCTGTTTGCTGATTGTTTTGTTTTAATCCATGGTGGGTTATCCATGCAGCTAGAGCTGCTCAGGTCTCCATTTGAGTTTCTTCTAGCATGGGTTTTGTTTTGTTCCTAATGTGGAGACGCTGTTGTTTCTACCGAGCCCCTCAGGAGACTTAATGGAATATGTGCTTTCATGTTTTTTGTGGTGTTTTGGTTTGTTTTTTGTTCGGCCTCTTTTATCCCGAAACAAGAAAAAGCAACAGATCTCTGAATGAGGGGAATTAAACAGAGGGTCTCGCTTTCACTTTGTGTGTCAGATATTTGCTTGTTTCTCGAGTTTAGTCTGCTGCCTTTTTTATACCATGAGTTTGATTATATATTAGATGTATTAGTTAGACGTAGACACTCCTGCACAGACACACTTCAGTACCATAGTTCTAATTAGCTCACTAAATATTAGGGCGATGTGAACTGGACATGTTGTGGTGGATTATATGTGTCATACAAGGATTATTATATTATATATGTGTGTGTGTGTATATATATATATATATGTCCTTATTATTCTAAGGATTACGGGTCACTTCCTCTCACAGATTACCGTTAACACAAACTAACCCAGATTTTCTTTCTGCTCTCATTTAACACCCGTTCTTTTACTTCTACTCTTTCCTTCCTTGTCTGCTTGACTCACTTCCTTTTTTTTTTTCATATTTCCTCCCCTCCTCAACCGCAGATGTTTCGACTGCTCATCATGAGGATGATGGTGAAAGGGGTGAGGATGAGGAAGAGGGGAGGTCTGAGGATGAACAGCTCCATGGTGGTGATGATGATGATGATGATACTGTTGCTGCCACATCTGCTTCTGCGCTGGTTACTAACCCACCGCCGGTGGAGGCCTCTCTTCCAGCCACCTCCAGCTACCACCTACCCCTGGAGCTTACTAACCCCACCTCTGAGCTAACTTCTCTGGGTAAAATCACTGGCTGTGTGGTGCTGCATGGTTCACTGTCATGGCTCTCTAACTAACTCATCTACCTTCCTTTCCTTCGTGTGTTTCCTACGTATCCAGAGGTCGGTTCTCTCATACACCTCCACCTTATCCAGAGAGCACACTTCCTCAATGCAATGCAAGCGTTCAAGCTCCGAACATTCACAAAGCTGTTTGTGCTCAACGCGCTGGTCGTTGCATTATTCTCCGAAACGCCAGAGGGTGTACAAACAAAAAGTGTGACGAAGCTGGAAGAGTGTAAGCGGTAAAACGCCATAAACTAACCTCCACTATGCCGAGCAGGGATTGTAATTACCTGTAAACTCATATTCATGTTATACTTTACTGCCTTTCTACAAACCCTGTAAAGAAACAAGTCAAGTATTTAAGGTATTATAAAGAAACAAAGGTTTACTATCCTGTAAACTATTTGATTTAGCTGCAAAATACTCAAATGAAGATTTGTAAGACCTCTAAGGCATTTAAAAGGGAATTGACCTTCTTTGTATAATCCCTCAGACTTGTATAGTGAATACTATACAAGAATAGTGTTAGAATAGTGTTCTTATCAGTGAACTTTTCTCTCTGATCACAAGTTAGAAACATTTGGAGATGCACGACCGAGCCTCGCTCCTCACACGCCGGCTGCAATTACCTCATTTTCTGTCGCGCCGGCTTCTTTACACCGACTATAAACTGAGCTCTACTCGTGTAAGGTAAACAGGTTCACTCACTCACTCACTCACTTTCGTCACTTAAGTACATGCCGTCTCTCTTTCAGTGCATCTTCTGACTGATCCTCTATTTGCAGCCTGTGTGCTCCGTACTCACGCAGGAGGAATAACTTGCAGTAACAGTGCTGCCATGTTGTCGTCGTCGTCGTCTGTGTTTTATTCCCTTTTTCGTTTTATTGGAAACTTTTTTTAAGTAGTAATTAATAAACAAAAAATAGAAATGATATCTTCAGGAAAGCATTAGCTCCAATCTTCTGAGGTAAACTAATTACTTAGTTTTGTGTTTCTTAGCTTTCCTCAGTGTTACTGCCGATGTGAGATAGGTGAGAGGAAAGTGAAGGACGAGAAGAAACAAACATGAAAACAGACACATGCTTCCTCCAGCTTTGTAGTGCACTATTGGTTTGAGGGGGGGGGTTGGCATCGTTTGTGCGTTTCTCTTTTTTCTTCTTTGTTGGTGGTAATTTTTTATGTAGTCTTGAAATAAATGGATGGTGGTGATTATAACACTAAAGGAGCTTCATCCTGCAAATGCTCGGTTTGTTTTCACCCGCCTCCTCCTGTAAATCCTCGTGTGTGTGTGTGTGTGTGTGTGTGTGTGTGTGTGTGTGTGTGTGTGTGTGACACGGAGGGAGGTGACACATGAAACGGTTGCCCTCCTGTTCTTTCATCTTCTTTAGTGCAGTGGTCTGGCCTGGCAGGGGAGCTGTGGTTACCATTCCCTGGAAAATAAAGCTGTATGCCGCTACTGGGAGAGAGAGGAAGAGAGATGGGGAGGGAGAGAGAAGCTGAGAGGGAGACTCAGGGAGAAGGAAAGAATAGAGCAAACAAATTAGGGATGGATGGTGGTGAAGGGAGGGAGGAGTTAGGGATGAGAGGAGGGAGATGTCAGTCTATAGTTGTGATGAAAATGAATGTGAAAGGTGCTTTAAAGGAGAATATTATTTCAGCATTAATGTGAAAATATTATGGCTCCTAAAAGTTTATCATCAGATATCTGTATTTTGGAGCGTCTTTAGTTTTTAAACTATAAACAACAAAATTCAGATTTTGTGCAAAGCTGTCTCTGTCTGTCTGTCTGTCTGTCTGTCTGTCTGTCTGTCTGTCTGTGTCTCTCTCTCTCTCTCTCTCTCTCTCTCGCTCTCTCTCTCTCTCTCTCTCTCTCTCTCTCTCTCTCTCTCTCTCTC